TTAATTATAGTACGAAATCGAACCGAACCGAACAGAATCGAACCGAAACCGAACGGTTCCATTTACTAAATACCCGAAAATTTTTGGAACCGAAAAAAACCAAACCGAACCGAACCGACCCGCGCCCACCCCTAAATTTATTTATTTGCTCATTTATTTATTTTAGTGTCAAATAATATGTCATAAAAATATTTTATTGACTCAATTATTTATGACAAATCAGATCGAATTGACCTATATCTATATTTGATCCATTTAGTTAACATATTATCAGATTCGGATCTTGATCGGGTATACCTTAAATCCACCTCTCATTAATTTCGTCGGGTTCGAATCAAAATTCAATCAATTGACAACTCTAACTATTGGTGCTTGTAGTTACAGATCAAATCATGTGTAGAGGGTTAATCCACGTTTATCTTGTGTCGTTTTAGAATCTTATGCTTGCTGATTCCACACGGATTGTGTTCGATCTTAAAAGAGCCATGGTGCAAAGGTTAAGTGTTAAAGTTGGGGAACTCAAGCCTATATAATCACACATCGAAATTACATATTTTCAATGTGGAATTCAAGTTTCATACCTTACGACAAGAATAATGACAAATCACCATGCTTTGCGATATCAATACTTTGCACTAGTTCATGATTAGCCCTGGGCAACAATATTATGCCAGCATCACCATTCACTGTTCGTTTGGATTTGTGAGATGTCATTCTTGCTCTAATACTATTGTTATAGATTTTAGGAGAGTTATACTTTAAAAGCTAATTGTTGAAGTTAAAAAGTTCAAATATAATAAACCACGTATCGAAATCTCGTACTTTTGATGTGGATTCAAATTCCATAGATTGCTAAAGTAATGTTTACTAGAGTTGGTTTAATACTCTATCAATTATACAATTTTATAAAAAAAGAAGAATAATCAAATTTGTCCAAATCGAATATAGTATTAAGTTTTTAACATATTGGAATTTCGGATTCATCTCATATTCAAATTAATATCAACTATTTAAAAATAAAGTTAAAATATCAGCCAAACAAAACCATCGTTCGCCTGTTTATGCAATTAATACCTAATTATTTATGAATTAAGCTATACGTCAACTACGATGCAATCTAAAATGTACATATAGCTTAATTCAAAAATATTACTCCTCCGTCCTATTTATATAAGCGGACTTTTCTTAAGTCCGTTTCTTTATTGAAAAAATATTTATTTTGTTCGTTTACTAATATACTCATTTAATTTGTTTAATTATAACCAATTGCTTTCAGTTAATTTTGAAATTGTACAGATTAAATTTAACTCCTTAGAATTATTCAAATACACACACATTTTCTAAAACACCATTATTTACTACATAATTAAATAAGGATAAATTAGGAAAATTGTATGCAAAAATTATTTTTTTCAATCACATTAAAGCCCTGTTTGGTACACATTATTTTTTTCATTCTCATTCTTTACTCATTTTCAACCACACATTCTTCAATAAAATAATATTTTCTATCACATCAATAACTTTTCCTTCATTTTTAACCACATATTCTCCATCAATCTACTATTCAATAATACATTCTTTCAAAAGAATATGTCCCA